TCAGCTGAGCAACTTATTTCCAGGGCCACAGTGGTCAGTGTTGGTGCCCGTGGGTGCAAGGATTGTTAATAGTGACTCACAGGCCGAAGGCAAGCTCCTTGTCCCAAACTACGGGCATCATCTCGTTATCCACGTTCCATCAGGTTACGGTTAGTCAAATTTCAACTGTCAAAACAATATCCTCCTCCAGCAGAGCTATGAGCCTGATAATTTATTCTGATATACTTTTGGCTGTTACCAATTTTTTGTAACTTAAAAAATACTGGGATACTATATTCGAAAGTAAAGCACATTATTTCAACACCTGATTTACTCAATATAACATATGGCTTATATCTTAAATGTGTTTTTAAAAGATTATGTATTCTCAAATTGATAGAATTATAATTTCTCCTATTTAAGGGCTACATAATTAAATATAGGCATGTAATTTTTGTGGAAACAGATAAAATACGATATATAGAACACCGTAAAATATTTCTGCTGCATCTCCTTCTCATAGTCCCCTCAGAAAAAAAATGGGAAAAATTCAGAAAAGGCCTACCACATCTAACACTTCAAATTTTACAGTAACAAATTTGAGAATTCCTTTCTAATATCCATAATTTTTAAGAACTATCCATTTATATTAATTGTACTTTTAGTATTCAGTTAAAAGAGAGAACACATAATGATAAAAGCTTTGATAAACCCAGTAATTTTCTGAAATTTATAGTCATTAATCAGCACAGTACTTACATATTCTTAAAAATAAGAGTACAAATACATTTGCAATATAAACATGTTTGTAGTGGAAACACACATTTGTTCCACCTTGCTCTCCACTTCGTTTCTGTTATATACTTGGTGGTTTGGTATCTAATATTTAGAATAGAAAATGGATTTACCGAAGGGAGACAGTCTTAGGCAAAATGCAAACGTGTGTGTGTGTGTGTGTGTGTGTATTTATCATATATATTTTGCATATTACATGTATTCTTGACAAGGGAATCATAGAACTTGGAGATATTCCAAAGTTTATCTGGGCTATTTCCTATAATGCAATAGAATAGTATCTAGATCATTCATAACATAAATAGCTGAATGATTTACGTGCATTCAGCAATGAAACAATGTTATTTTATAGTGGCTTTAACATAGGGGGAAAAGTGCTTTTTCTATAACGATGATTAGTGCTATTGAAACTTCCAAAGTTTTTGTTTTTGCTCTACTATCCATAGGTGTGTGGTGGAGTACAACAATCTGGTACGTGTCTATTCTGCAACGGAACAGCCTATCAGATCATTTCCCAGCTAGAAGCACCTGTCTTTCACTGATTCAAATCATACTTTAGCCCTGGGGCATTCACTTACGGCATGTTTCTTTTATGATGATGGCTTATACGAGTTTGGTTTTTGCATGTAAATGCTACCATTCTTAGAACTCCCTCCCCCACCTTACCTAGTTATGATAAGCACAACATCAGTGATTCATGAGAACGTAATCCTGAAAACCTCCCCATTTTAGGAACTGCCTTTATTTTGCAAAGTATTTTGTAGAAATGCTATGTTCATATTTTAATAGAAACATAATCTAGACAAAACCAAATCGCAAACTTCTTCCTAGTTTCTTTCAAACTTCTTCCTAGGTTTCCTCCTCTGTAGTTAAGTTTTCTATATCCTTGAGCTTTAGTTCTAGAGCTTCAGAGTTTGCAAGGCATTTTAAAACGATCATAGAATAATAGCTGCTGCTCTAAGACCAGGTTTACTTAGCTTGTCCTGACTCTGAACTTCTGAATCCTATGTTCACCTCTTTTTTAAACATGTAAACCCATGACCCTCTAGTCTCTACCTCAAGTTCCTTCCTGCTCCCAGCCCTCTAAAACAAGTTTTTCTTTTTCCTATGTCCCAAAAGAAAAGCACCCTAGTTTTGCAAACTTGTACTTTGCAGATCAACTTCTTTACCTATTCATCCTCTAAGACACATAATGGCAATTCGATTAGTAGAAACCTGCCCAGATAGCAAAATGCATGCCCACTTTAATTTCTGTACAGCCAGCTAACATGGCATGCCTCAGGGAGAGCTCTAAGCTACACTTTACTTCAGGTTCCCTTGTTACTTCAACGATTAATACTAATCTTTACATATTACAACTTATAAAAGACTATTTCTACCTTTTTTTTTTTCAGACAGGGTCTTGCTCTGTTGCCTAGGCTGGAGGGCAGTGGTGCAATCATAGCTCACCACTGCCTTAAAGTCCTGGGCTCAAGCAATCCTCCCACCTCAGTCTCCTGAGTAATTAGGACTACAGGTGTGCACTGCTGTGTTGCCCAGTCTGGTCTTGAACTCGCGGGCTCAAGCCATCTTCCTGCCTGGCCTCCTAAAGTGTTGGGATTACAGGTGTAAACCACCATGCTCAGGCTACTTCTAAGACTATTATGGCATAATAGGTACTCAATAAATATTTGTTCAAAGAATGAATGGATCAGCTTATAGTCTTAGATGGAAAAGCCAAGGGATCAGATCTCTTTTCTGTAACCACAGCCCTGGATAGGCAAATGATGCCTTCTGTGTGAAATCATGTAAAATTCTTCTTTCAGATATAAACTAAAATCAAAGACAACCTCTGAGTGCCATTCCATGAAGCAATCTGCTACTGCAATAATCAGGTTGTGGCTTCCACCACCACTGCCACTGTCATCCTACATTTCTTTCTTTCTTTCTTTTTGAGACACAGTCTCGCTCTGTCACTCAGGATGGAGTGCAGTGATGTGATTTTGGCTCACTGCAGCCTCTGCCTCTGGAGTTCAAGCAACTCTCCTGCCTTGGCTTCCTGAGTAGCTGGGACTATACCACCAGGCCTATGCTACCAGGCCTGGCTACTTTTTATATTTTTAGTAGAGACGTGGTTTTACCATGTTGGCCAGGCTGGTCTCAAACTCCTGACCTCAAGTGATCTGCCCACCTCAACCACCCAAATGCTGGGATTATAGGCATGAGCCAATGAGCCTGGCCTTCCTCTTACATTTCTTTACTCTTATGTCTTTTTTTTTTTACCAGTATCGGAGCTGATCCAGAAATCTTCCAGTCCTTGGTGTGTGTGCGCGCGCGCATTCACACACACACACGCACACACACACACACGTATTTTCTTGATCTTAGTCCTAATGAATAACATGTGGAACATCGCAAGTAATTCCTTCCTATTCTATGAATAGCAATTCAAGGGATGGTTTCCAAAGAATTATTAAAACACACGCAAGAATTTACATTATACTCCAGTGGGTAGTAACAAATTGAAAACGTTATCAATGCTTCATAATGTGGGGAGAACTCTGGGTATATAACAGTCCTGGGCAGTGAAAAAGAAATAACCCAGATTCCACAATTTGAACTACTGACCTTTTTCTGTAGATGACCAACACTTTTCACCTCACTTAATTTACTAATTTATTATTTTCTTAAGCCAAATTCTGCATTCCTTTGGTATAAAATGCCAGCGTACCTAAAAATATTTTTGCATTTCACATGCTAGTTAAAATACATCATCACATAGTTGTGTCTTTAATAATAATTTAGTACCCTATGATTAATATACCAGACTGATATAAATATAAATAGACATAAATACACACACATATATATGTTTCATCTTGCTACAATCCATCTGAGGTTATCTGAGAAAATCCCCATATAACAAACGTATGTACAAGTCCCAGCCAATGATCCATTCTAGGGAATGTTAAATAAACCAAATCTAGTTTGGCCAAAGAACTTAGATAGTCCCTTAGAGTTTTCTGCTACATCAGGTGTAACTGAATGTAAAATTTTCTATCTGGAATTTCAGGGGCAATTAAAACTCTTAATAATTCTTTTTCCCTTTGGCTGTACCTTTATTGGTTGGCAATTAATGACTTGGCTTTTGACCAACAGAGGAAAAAGAAATTTTTTTTTTTTCCCCAGAAAACTTGCGATGACAGATGTCATTTTCCAGCTCTCAGATGCCAATGGGAATTGAACCCAACAGTCATAAGCAATAAAGTTCTGTACAGAGAAAATCCTATTTAATGGAGGAGCATTTTCCATGAGGAAATTCCTTCTAATAAGAAGTAACTAGAAACTACTTATTGTTCTCTTTCCCAGGGACCAGTCTCATGACAGGCCCTCATTCCAGGCCCTACCACAGTGACATCTCTATTGTACCACCAAGTACCCAAAGTGGTGACAGGAGCCTGAGCTGGACCTGAGCCGCAGCAGTGACTCAGCATGCCCAAATGTCTCCAGGTTTCCCAGGCCACCCCACAGTTACATGGCAGCTCCAGTCAGTCTCCCGGGGAGGTCTGTCTGACCTCATTACCATGGAGCAAGACAGGATTTTGTAGAACATTCTTTTTCAGTCTCTTTAAAGAGCCCAAGCCAGGACACACAAAGACGAGAAGCTGGTTTCTAGGAAATTTAACCTCTCAAAATATGGGCATCATTGAATGTCCCTGATACAGTCATTCACCAGCTGCCACTGTATGACAGCAATATACACAAAAGATGAAAGACAACGTTGAATGACCCGCACCCGACTCAGGACTAATGATAAGATTATTAAAGTCACACATCAGCCTACCCGAAGCAAAAATTTTCTTCCCTGAAAGAGTTGAGAAGTGTCACTGTCCAGTGAGGCATTTATTTTTCAAACTAAATCCAGTTAAGAAGCTGGGCTGCTGGCCATAACTCCTACAGAAACTAACATATACTTCTGTGCCTCTGACAGCCTGGCCCAGTGATGAGGACACAGTTGTAATTGAATTGCATTTGATGTTGTTTGCACTAACACAGCACCGGGCTTCAGGACAAACCACAGTTCTGCAGAGCAGAGGTCTGGCCCACTCTCCCCGTACCCCCACCCCCCGTGGCTTGGGTCTGCCCTTGTTGTCATGACCTGCCCAAGGTTTCATCAGCATCACCTCTGACTCATACTTTGTATTCAATAATAGCAAGATGCAAAGAGAGCTCTTCAGCAACGAGAGCCTGGAAGACGGCCAGCGTATCGGTACTAAAGCGGTGCTGGCCCCAACACAGCTCGCTGGGCCGGACGTGGATGGCAAATGGCTGACAGCCGGATACACAAGCAGCCCCCTTCTTGGTGAGCTTCGGAGGATGCAGGTGGACAGAATCAAGGTTTCAGGTATGCTTTTCAGAGGCTCTGCGGGGCTGTAGGAGGCTGTATCACAGCATTGGAGATGGTTGTGGTTCTCCCCCAGAAAAAGGCACCAGCAGGGAGAAAGGCAGATTAGCAAACGGTGTGGGCGCACAGTGCAAGGCAGGGGAGAAGCTGTCGGGGTCACATCAACCTGTGAAAGGCAGCTGGTCAGGGACTCCTCGGTTCCCCACTGTCCTGCAGAGACATGAGGGCCAGTGTCCATGCCTCCCTCCCCCATCACCCAAGCTGATCCATAGGAAATTCTGAGCCCCACTGGGCAAGTAGAGGGAAACAAATGCCTCCAGATGGGGAAGAGCGGAAGGTCTAACTAGCATTCCCGGGGAAAAGCAACACAGACAAGAGGTGTAGAATTAGCTGGGCAGGGTGCGTGGGCGACTCCCGGTGCCAGTGTGCCCAGGAGGAAGTCATTCGTGGAGCTTGGTATGGGTTTTAAGGCAGTTTTGGTGTTTGAGGCTTATTTAGCACACGTAAGTCCAAGGTAGCATTAGAAAGAATGATCAACTTCACGTGACTTTTCAAAACAACCAAATGAGCCCAGTGTTGGCACATAGCAGTCGGCCGAGATAAGCGGCCATTCCAGGAGCAAAGGCCCTTGTGCCAGGAAACAAGAACAAGCACGAGCGAGAAGCAGGGAAATGCAATCCCCAAACACAGCTCACGCTTTATGGCTGTGAGACAATGCCTCTTTTGCTTGGACCTCAGGCTCTGCAAACTGCAGCACAGAGGAGGGTAAGTGCAGTGGCCCCTAGAGAAAGGTGGTCAGTAATAAAACTGCACCCCACTTTACTTGCCCCTTTGTGTTCCTGGATCACTGCCAGGCCTGTCCCAATCCTGCAATACGTGGAAAGCCAGTGTGTTCAGATGGAATAGTAGGGGATGTGACCTAAAGGGATTACTAGTAAGATTTTCCAGAAAAAGAAAAATAGCTATGTTTTAAGCATAAGTGCCGGGGGAGGGGAGAAAGTTTCTTTGTTTCTCATTGGAAAGCTTTGCAAGCTATTGACTTATTGAGCAGAATCAGGACAACTGGGTACACAGCTTTGACTTGTGGGGATTTCTGACACTTTCCTTGAAAGCCTCTTACCCCAAATTGAGGGTCCCAGGAATGGCTGTTCTATAGAAGCTCTTAGGTACTGAGGTCTTATATGAACTGGAACCATGTAAGATGGGGAGGGGTGGCCGGGCACAGTGGCTCTTGCCTATAATTCTAGCACTTCGGCAGGCCGAGGCAGGTGGATCACCTGGGGTCAGGAGTTGAAGACCAGCCTGACCAGCATGGAGAAACCCCATCTCTACTAAAAATACAAAATGAGTCAGGTGTGGTGGCGCGTGCCTGTAATCCCAGCTACTCGGGAGGCTGAGGCAGGAGAATCGCTTGAACCCAAAAGGCGGAGGTTGCGGTGAGCCGAGACTGCACCATTGCACTCCAGCCTGGGCAACAAGAGCGAAACTCCGTCTCAAACAAAAGCAGAAACAAAACCCAAACGACAATAAAAAGATGGGGAGGGGTGACAAACATGTGGACTCAAACTTAATTGCCAGATTATGATTCAAGGTCATTTGCTTAGAGATATCGAGTCTTCAGAAAATCTTTGAGTAAAGGCAAATGAAAGGCTTGGGTCTAAAAACAGGCTTCCAAAAGTGGAAATAGGACACAGGAAGTGGGGAGTTGAAAACAAAACAAAACAGATGAGCTGGAACGAAAAGAGTAAGAGAGAAGTAGGAAGATGGTGAGAGACTCTAAGGAAAGCTGTGAAGGGAGAGGATTGTGGCCTCTTGGCTTTATTTTCAGTTAGTGCCTTGAACAATATATTTAGCATGAGGTGAGGCTCCTGCACATTCTGCCCTGTTCTCCCCAGTTATGGGGGTGGGGAGGTAAGTGAACTACACCGAGACTTCTTGCAGCTGTCACCTTAATATCAGGTATCTGTAAAGTGGGGCGAGAGGTGGGAGGACTGCTAAGGGGCTGTGTAATTACTGGGCCCTCCAGCCAGTGTACCATGGGCCTACGTAGTTCGGTTTGACAGTATTGATTGTGCCAGACCCTGAACTAAGCACTGGGGATGCCGAGATCAAGAAGGCATGATTCCCGCCCTTAGGAGTGCACCGTCAAAGGAGACGACAGATGAGTAAACTGAACATTTTGATTCAGTATGTTTTGGGATACAGGTAGGAACCAGGGCTGCAGGGCCAGGGAAAGGGGGCACCTCCCTCAAAGGTGAAGGTCCTATCTTCAGTCACACAGAGCAGCTTACAAGACTCCTCCTCGGCTGCATCTTGTTCTGAGGGTGCGGCCATCTCCAGCTGTCTCCTCCATTGTCTCTATTTTCTTACTGGCTCCTTCTATTCTAGGTCTCTCCAATCCCAAACACATCATTTCCAGCTCTGTTATGCCTTCAGGCTACCGGCTGAGCCTTTTTCTTTTACTGCCAAAGCATAGCATGCATTTTCTTACATTTCCTCCCTACCCTCTCATTTTTCACCCACCCCTTGATGTCGAGTTCCTCTCTATACCACTTTATCATAATCTCCCTGTTGCAGAAGAACCACCAGGGATTTCCTCGTTACGAAATTCAGTGACCCTCACTCATGTTATTGTACATAAGGCTGAATGGCAACTACCATGCTACAAGCTCAAACTCTCGCCTCTTTCAGCTTCCCAGGCCTCTCTGCCCTCGTTCTTCCTGCAATTCTCCTGTGCTTCCTTCCTTAGCACCAATTCCCTTCCCATCTCATAAGTGGGAGTGTTCCCCAGTAAACAGCCACAGGGAGCGCACCTGCATCTAGAGTTCCAGCTCTTCTCCGTGCTGATGACACTCAACTTTATCTCTAGGTCTGATCCTTCACCTTTCTGGTTCAGAATTTCTAATTACATACTGGTCAGGTTCACATTCATGGTCATCTGTGTCCCTCAGGGTTCTGAGCACAGTGCATTGCACAGATGTGGATATAATAATATTAGCTGAATGATGAGTGAATGAATGAACAAATAAAATATCTCAGTCTCCTGCAGAAAAATCCCACCTTGTAACTTCTGCCTTTCTTTCCTGACCTGGGTTTCTGGCCGATTATCTTCCAAGAGACAGACAATTTATTGTTATCTTCCTAGAGGAGACTCAACCCCAAAGCCTGGAAATGGGGCTTTGTATTATCCATCCAAAGATCGGTATCGTTGTCTTTCGCCCCTCCATTCTCTTGGCAATATCTCATTTTCTTTCTTGGTGAAATAGAACGAAAGTGATCAGCCCTTGTGGCAAGTCATATAATTCATGGTAACATCATTTTGTCATGTAAGTGACTGACATCAGGACCGACCTATGAAGTGAATTATACCCCAATTTCAACACGCCGTTTCCCACGATCTTTAACCCCAAAGCAACAGTAACAACTATACTAACAGCACTTGTGATATGCCAGGCACTGTGCTGCGCTAAGTGCTTTACATGCATTCTTTTTCCGAATCTTTTCAAAAACCTTATAAGGCAGAAACCATTTCCAGAGTAGGAAGCAGAGGCTTAGGGAAGTTGGCATATCTGACTCAAGGTAAGTGGTAGAGCCAGGTTCAGGGAGACGTGAAAACATCCCCCTCTTAACCCTTCACCACACAGCCTCTCATGTCCATTGGATTCAGTTACAGGGGGCAGCTTGAGTTGGTTCACGTCTACAAATAATTGAATTTCTGTTACATGCTGAGCGTTGTGGGATACAAAGGTTTCAAAAGATCAAGTCCATGATCTCAAGGAGCTTACAGTCTAGAGGAAGAGCACCAAGATGAGACTGCTGCTTGTGAAGTGAAATGAGACTTTTGGATGAAAGGGTTACATTTGCACAAAGCACGCACAGTTCAGTATTACATGTCCCTGCCCTTGAAGAAGATCCCAGCTGCTAGAGTTTTGACTATGCAGTGTTTCAGATTTAGTTTCCCCTCCTCTTTGATCAGGCTCCTCTGTCTTTCTAAAGCTCATACTATACATATAATTTCCATTCAAATTCAAAATCTTTCCAATTATTGTAGTGAATGCAATGTTATTCAAGGATTTTTTTTTCCTGAAAGAGCACCTATCTGACATGCATTTTTAATTTTATGTGCAATATGCAAATGTCATCACTGTAGTTGTTAACCGCAGTGCAGGATTGCAATTAACTATGGAGCTGTGCATTTTAGTTATATGCTAATGCTAATGAGATTTTCATAAAGCAAGTCCAATTACCAGCCCTATTTTTTAACTGCAAAAGCTAGTGCAAAGCAAAGGTGTTGACTTTCTTTAGAATAAATTACCCTTTGTCCTTGGCTCCTTCATCATATTCAATCATCCTAAAAAGTAACTCTTGCTACTTTGAATATTGTATCCTGCCTTCCTCTCCGATACAATATTAATGGAGACTGTGGGCAAGATTGTTTAGAAACCAATTTACACTGCACAGGCAGTGGGAAAACTTCCTCCAAATGTAAACTGCTCCAACAGAGGAGCAGAGCTTTGAATACTCAAAGTAAACAGGACCTAGAGGAGACTGAAGACCCAGACAGTAAGTTAGCAAAAATAAATCACAAGAGAGCATGTATGTGGTGTAACCTTGCACTGAGGAAACACAAGCGGTGAATGGGTAAACTCAGATTTATGATCAGCTGTGTCACTGGTGGAAGATAAGCACCTTAGAGGGCTATTCATTCATTCATTCATTTAAGAAACCGTTGTGGGGGCTTCTGTGTTCCAGACACTAAATTAGACACTGAAGGTTCAAGTATGAATAATATAGGGGAGGCGAGACAGACTTTCATATTTTGTTTCTGTACTAATGTATTCTTTTACAAAAAGAAAGTGTTTGTGAGTTACTTGGGCAGTGAAAGAATGAATAAGCACAATGCCTGCCTTCAGTGAGCTTACGATCAAGTAAAAGGATACAAATGTGTAAATTAATTTTAAAAGGATACAAACATGTAAAACAAAGTGTGACACATGAGG